ATCGCAAAATTAAAAACAATTCCGTGCATAATTGTGGCTGCGTGAACGAAAAAACCTCTAAGGAAGCGCATTAAAGGATAGCAAAAGGATCACCCGTACTTCTACATATAACGAGTAACGAGTAACGAATAACGAAAGCACAGCATAAAAAGTTTACCAAATTAACAAAATAGCTAAGACGTAATTGCATTTATGCGCACGCCATTAGTGTATCTGTGTATGTACGGTTGGAGATATCCCGCATCTCGTGTGTATGGAATTTTTGTCAATCGTGCCAATTTCTTACGTAAATATAACCGTAATCAAAGGTTTTTGTTGCAAGCTGTCTATCTGTCTATCTGTATGTCTCTGTGCTTCAGCATTTCCTCCAGCATAATGAAAAAATATTGTTTTTAATATTCGATATATGCAGCCAATATGGCAAGTCGTGGCAATCCCGAATACGGCAATTGTTGTTTCTTTTTTTTTTCCTTTAATATTTTTTCTGCATTAATTGCAACTCCAACTATCTCCTGCACATGTACATATATACGATTTCCTTGAAAATGTATATGATATCTACCCATACTTGGAGCATTTATACACTCTTATTAATGAGGTCTTCCCATAAATTTAATGCAAACAGCACTAGCGACCCCTCCTGCATTCAAACCAAAACTAACTGATGTCCATGGAAGTGCGTTTGTGTGTGTTTGTGTGTGTATGTGTGTGGCTGTTTACCTATTGTCAATATTCATTATCCTTTTAGGCGCAATGAAGTTGATGACGACGTTGACTGGTGTCATAAAGTAACTTGAATGTCTCATAAAACGTGACTATAATCGTAATTGATGCGCATTAACTGTGACTCTCAATGGAATGCGGTACGGGCGTGCGGCGGTGCAGGTGTACTACACATATTTCCATCGACTGTAGTTAATATGGACGCATAAATTATTGCAGATAATAAGCTTTTGGGCTGAGTTTTGTGATTATTTCATGTTCGGTAATTCACCTCACCTCACCTTACCTTACCCGACTTTACTTTAAGTGTTTACTTTTATATTTAGACCGGTTGTGAATTACAACCCTCGACACTTCATTCCTAGCCCCGTCATCGACACTGAGCAACAAGCGCAAAGTTTTTAATGGAGACGGTGCTGGGTGTGCAAGAAATAATTGTTTGATTTGATGTAGCATAACATATTGTTTGCTTCAAGAAAAAACAAAACATCTAGGTAAAAATTAAAATTTTTGTTATCAAGATATTTTTTTAAGAAGGAAAGTTATTGTCTTACGAAACTATACCAATTTTTATTTGTGAAAAAAATTCATAATCGAATTTAAATATGATTTATAGAGAACAGCATACATAGCAAAAAGATATTCAGGGTGGTCAAGATACCCGTAGACTTAAAAAGCTGCAGGGGTTTAATTCGTTTGCTACCAGTATCACAAGTACATGTACCATAAGATAATTAACTGGCCATCGAAACAGATGAAAACCATTTTAGACAAGCCGTTACATTCCGCAAAATTTACATTATAGAAAGTACAGGTTGGTGTCATCTCATATAATCCATACGTACGGTGCAAAAAATTGCGAAAAACCTGATTAGAAACTAATTGAATACAAGTATTAGTACTATTGATGATGACATTGAACGTGGTGTGCCACGGCTCACCTCAATGCTCAATGAAGCTTTTAATTATGCCTGTCCCCCTATTTAACCTAGTAAGAAATGCAACCCACTTTGTTTGAATAAAGACTTAGCTCTTTTATGAAAAGGATGTAGGAGACTATTCAATAGGGCAAAATTAAACAATTGTGAGAGTGACTGGTTAAAATACAAAATCTCTCA